TAAAAAAAAAGGGGGGGGGGGGGTTTTGTCAGGAATATTTCAAAGGGTTTATTAAATTTGATACCCTAGCTTTAGAGAACCCAAATTCCCCAGCAAATTTAGTCTTTCATTTCTATCTGTGTGGGAATCTCAGAAGACCTTGGTTCCCACAGATGGTCAGCAGCCTCTAAGGCTGTAATTTATTACAGATGTTTTCTGCAGCCTTCAAGGCTGTATTTTGTTACCAATTTCCATTTGCTGTTTCTTGCCCTTGGAGGACAGTTTTCCTGTTTTCCAAGTTTGACTATCTTGACACAGTCCAATTTGAACCTTCGCGAGAGAACGTTGTACAAGATTTTGTGTGAATTCCGAATTATACCAACTTTAAAATAGGGTGTTTTGCACCCCGGCTGTAGCCTGACCAAGTTCTTGTGTTTTATTTCAAATTCCATCTTTCAAACTCTCTTTTTAAATTCAAACCTTTTCTTTGTCGGGATTTATTCCCAACAAGTGAGACATGATCCAAAATCATTTTTTTCCCTTGGTGAAACCAAGTTTTTACATACCTTGTGTTCTTGGTGATACAATACCCTAATTTAATTTATTTTAATGTCATCCATTCATGGAGTTTATTCATTTTCCGCTACGAATAACTGCTCCCATTTCTTTATGCATTGCATGACATTACCAGTCCTTCAAAAACTTTGAACGAATTTCCAAATGAATTCGAGGCTTAGAGATCGCTAATAGCCTAATATTTTAAAATACAGTATCATAATTTATTCCTTCTCAAATGATGGAAATTTTTCAAAAGATATTTTCATCCTACAATATACATTTCTTTAGCTTAAACCGGAAAAAATTGATGATTTTCTGTGCTAGTGTAATTTTAAAGCCTTTTACTTGGAAGTTCCCAGAAATTGCCAGATCGCAACCAATCTTTTTACAGTCTAAACTATGTCAGTCAAAAATATAAAGGTATCAGCAAAAATTGAGTTGGGGAGGTTTTTTTTTTCAAGGAAAGAGGCCTTTTGTTCAAAGAAAGAATTAATAATCGCTGCAAATCGTGATTTGTGATATTTTGACCCTTGAATTGCTTCATGAATGAGTTGAGGGGATGCTGAATGCGGAGGCAAGGGTCTATTCACCCAAAAAATCTCTCATTGTGACCTATACGGTATACGTGATGAAGCAAATTGTAATTAAACTGGGCAAACAATTTGTATGAGCTTTTTGACTGCGTTTAGACACTCAACTGCTAATGTTTGGATTAGCTAGTGTCTGTAGCTTGGCACTTTTTTTTTTATTCAGAGAGTAGAGCTTCGATTCAAATTTTTTTTTTTTTTTTTTGCTCCGAAAATTGTGTGGCCTTCCGGTGCCTTGTGTGGTTTGTTTAAGCTCTATTACTGTATGCAAATTTTTTTTTAATCTTTCGAGTCAATGTCTTGTGCAAGGAAGGATGGCTTTGCGACTCGGTGCGACTCCATCCCAAGATCAAAGAATCTGTGTGGAAGGTTTGCAATGTCTTTATCCAGTTCTCTGATCGGTGGGATGGTGCAAAGATCAATATGCATCCAGTTTCGGTGATTCCTTTCCTTTGTCAAAGTGAAGTAATTTTTTTCAACAAGAAACAAATCCTTCTTTGTGTTCGTTACTGATGTGATTAAAATCTGTCATAATGAGGGATATTTTTTTGACAAGCAAAATTACTTCTGTATGGCTTTAAATTTTTAAAACGCTCTACTTGTTGCTGAAATGAGAGTTGCATTGCACTCCTGATTTCTTGGATTAATCCGAATCATAATTCTTGGATGTCTATATTTGTGTAAGCACCATTACTAAATGCAAATTTTTTTTATCTTTCCAGATGGTGATTTTTAAAGAAAATTCAGCGTCCTTTCCTCTGAATGGTCCATTGGCATCATTGCGTGAAGCTACTTGCAATTATTTTATGAGGTTTTTTCTCAAATTTGTTCACTGATAGAAAAAAAAGAAACCTAATTGGATTTCAGGAATTGTTACCATCAGCAAAAGAAGAATACCATATTTACTGGAGTACCATGCGCCCTCGAGTAAGGCGCACACCCCAGATTTTTGGGGTGAAAATTGCCCAAAAAGATAAACCGTGTACCATGCACACCCCAGTTTTGGCTGGCTAAACTATATTTTTGAGAATAATTTTTTAGAACTAAAAATGGAATGAAATAGCAGTAGTATTTCTAATTCAGATGCTTTCTTCAATAATTTCAGCACAATGTACACAAGATTTCACTGTGTAATTGATAGTACAGTACTCCCACTGCTGCAAGTGGCCAGAATGCTGAAGAATTCTCCTTAAAAAAATTGTTTTGTATTAAGGTGATATCTATTTTCAGCATTACTCTGTTGTGCTTCCTCCTTTTTATTGTCCATGGGA